AAGACTAACAAGTCACGACTGGGTTGATGTCACGGAGGCAAAAAACGCGGTTTTCTTATTAATTAAGAATCGTGACTTTGTCTGATAAGGAAACATAATAACACGCCTCTTTTTGTACAAGAGGTAGACACGAGCGTTTGTTGTGTACATGGGTCATGTATGGACAATTGGCCATATCGCCTATAATTAACATATTGTTGCAAAGAGAATATAAGACGATTATAAGTCTATATTGTATTGATGGTTGTAAAAAGAAACACAGAAATATAAAGAAATTAATCACATGTTGGTTCTAGGTACCTTCTACGAATTTTTTTGAATGTTTGTCTGTGTATGTCTGTCTTTAGTGTTTATGGGTAGCCTCGTATTCTGATGATAACCTGTCGTTTATCATATGATAAAACCGTCTTTATCCAATCATTTAATTTATTACTTTCATTATTTCTTCTGCCGTAATTGTTCATACCGTTCATAGCACCCAGCTCTCCAGCTGCACCTGGAAGTCCATATTTGTAATTAACTTGCAGATACCTGGGGAATATTAACCGAACCTTCATTTGTAACTATCTAGTGTTTTAATTGCCCTTCCTTTCGTTTTATGTTTGTCCATTTTCTTGGTGATTGGACCACCCTTTTTAGATGCTCACAGGGCCAACAGTTATTTTGGGTTTTAATGATAATTTGGGGGTTGGTAAGCAATACGACATGTTTTCGCTTCAACTCAACAATAACATCAACAGCCTGTAAGTGGCCACTGCTGACCAAAGGCCTCTTGTCACACCAAGAAGGTTTGAGCATTAATCACCACGCTTGCTCAATGCGAGTTGGTGATTTCAAACTTATAATTAGAAATTATAAGCCCAGGTTTCCTCGCGATGTTTTCCTTCACCGTTTATCAGTGGTGTCTAATTAATCTTCGAAACTCGGAAAAAGTCACAGAGGTCCTTGCTGTTGGTAGGTTTCGAACCCGCACCCTCATGCATGAGAATCGGTCGTCTTAACCTCCTGGCCACAACGACTACTCTTTTCGCTTCGCTTATTAATGATCCTAATTAAACGATGTACCAGCATTTCAAAAGCAAGCGATAGCGAAACAGATTTTTGCTTCACTTTTCCAATTGTCAATATAGTTCAGTAAAAAGTTTTCAGTTTCAAAATTATTTTCATAGAGTTTTAGTTATGTCTGATGATTCAATAACAAAGCTTAACCCTATGACTATCTCACTTTGAGTATGAGTTTCAAAAACACAACTTCTATCACCTCTTCTAGGAATAACACTTAGAACTATTTTTACTAGTTATAAAATTTAGATTTATTTTTTTAAATATAACTAAGAGAACAGTTATTTACTAATCCAATAGAACAGTTAGTTCTGTCGTGACAGACGGACATAACCCAGCAATACATAACAGTTATGTATCAGACACGCACTTATATCTAATGGAATTTGAATGATTTGATCACTGGACAGTTGGACTGGTATAAAGATTGCGAGATGGCGAGTGGAGGAGAAAATCTGTCTTAGAAAATGTTCTGCTTAAGTCCACCGATTGAAAAATACTGATGGCACTTCGCCTATAGTCCGCAGGAAAAATTGATCACAATCAATCTATGTCTGGACTTTAAACCATCGAATTTACCTTAGAAGTATATGTATATGTGGAACAGTAAACTTACTTCTAGAAGACAGATTCAATTTAGTCCTGTCAATAGGGCCAATAATGCAGTCTCCTCACACAGACATATTAAACCCAAAAAGGTAAAAGTAACTAAAGAAAGGGACATATCATAGTTTCAATTCCTCATTGGTCCATTCAGTGTTTCATTGCCATCAAAGGCCGGCAACGCACCTGTGACGTCTTTGGTGTTGCGGGTGTCCATGGGCGGCGCTGATCCCTTACCATCAGGTGATCCGGCAGCTCGTTTGCCTCCTATTCCATAAAAAATCTCTTGTTATAGAGTATTGTAATCTTTTATCTATTTCACGTCAATCTCCGACTTCGTGGCCAGACTCCCACATTTCGGTAACCGGGCCTGTGGGCCACTCGTGTCACTAGATTCGTCACGCGGATTGACCCAGTGCGGCGCGTGCGCATAAACACTTACTTTTTTATAGTTATTATTATTATTATATTGTTCACTTACCGTCGCCTTGACTGCTTAAGATTTTACCGGCATTGTTATATTGAGGATTTTGAAAAGTAGGTGGGGTACTGTAGTTGAATTTGTAATTTAAAACATGGCTGTAAAATATTTATTGGTCCATTAAAAGGCACGGTATTGAGTATCTATTCACTTACGTACTATCCGTAGAAAGCAAACTGCAATAAATAACAATAGCCCTTAGTTACAGTAATTAGTTAATTCCATCTTTATTACCTTTTCAAGTGGGTCGTGTTTCAATCCACCTGGTTTTCCTTTATTTAATAGTAAATATCTTTGTGAGCCCGTCCCATAGTTCATTAACGATGACTTCTGCGAACTTGCACATCACCGCATTTTTTCCATCACTCTCACCTTCAACCCAGTGGCTCATCGTGCGACTGACGCGTTTTTGTCGCAGTTGTCGGGTAATTGGTTTAATAGTCGCACGAATTTGGAACGCGTCGGACCGTTTGTGGACCGACTCCCGGACCTTAGGTTGGATAATGATTTGGTTGAAGATGCTATGGGTGAGAAAGGAGGGAAAGTAGATCTTATCTGCCTGGTAACAGAAGCTATAACTAACTGCATTAAATGTGGTCGCAGAGATCTATCTGAGCAAAGCTACTTTCTTGCACGAACAATGGTGTGATCAGTAATTAGCAACTACCTAAGGACTGGAGCTCGGAGGTGACCGGTCACATAGACTGCTTACACTTACTGATAAATTACTAAATGACTACTTTCAACTTCGTACGAATAACAAAGACCACAGTTTGTTCAGTAACTTCAGTCAGATAGAACTGACTTAAATCATAACTAGAAGTTTTTAAATATCCTTTTTCGTATCCTTCAATTTGAAAAAGACATTGAAAACCTACCTACGCACTGTAATTACATCATCAGCAACATTAAACTCTAAGAACTAGACAGACAAACACTGAAAAAGTTTGTCAATTAACTAAATGATTACTTAAGTGAAGTCAAATGGTTAAAGCAAATAAATTGCATGTATCATCATCAAGCAAATTTGCTAGTTTTTGTGGCACTAAATCTAATGTCATCACTTAAATCATTTGATGAACGTATAGCAATTTACAATAATGAAACGCCACTAAATATTTTACTCGTAAAATGATCACAATTAAAATTGAACTTAGGAATTGCTGTCGTAAAGTCCAATGTCTTAATTTTTGGAGTTCTGTCGATGTGTGGACGTATCTGAGTTATGTTGGTTTCATTTAATAGTGGCTGATGAATTGGTCACAAGTCGGGCTTGCTTGCTAATTAGCAAGTAGTACTAACACAATACCAATCACAAAATTATTCGTTATTTATCTCGCATCTGTCCACTTCAGCAATAACATTTACGTTTCGGAAACTTCATTCGTTCCTTTACTAAAATGATCCTTTTTAACGTCCAATTAGAACACATACGGAACTCAGGCTGGTATACAACTGTCTATTTTTAATTAATATGATTGACGACTCAGCCTCAAAATTCGGCGTGGCAGACTATTTCAATAACATTAACTCCATTATGAGAACAACGCTCCTATGACCATTGTTCAGATTTAACAATCGCGTCTCATAACCAATTCATTGCTTCAAATTCTTTGCGACTAAACTCATCATTGAATTCTCCAGTTTTATGATTCCTGAATTGTATTGTTTGTGTTGCTTATTTAGAACAATCATGTCATCTACGAGATTGTTTATATTTGCTTTATTATCTGAATTCAATGTTATATTAACCTTTTTACTTGCACCACTTTCTTGTCTGTATACCGTCATAAAACAAGAACGTAAATAAATGTCGACAAATGGATGTTTATAAATAAAAAACATGTAACGTCTTATTGTCATCCACTTAATAGATTGTATTATTATCTTGGGTAAACACTTCAATCGTCAAGTAGTCTTAAGTGTCAGAATTAGAAGCTCTTCATCCATCAGCAGGTACTACTGCTATTTGCATTTTCTCCTATAATGTACTTTCTATATGAACATCGTAAATTCCAGTTGTTTCTAAAATCTTCCTACCATCACTGCTAAATTCAAGTTTAACTTTCTGTTTTCTTATATTGTCGGATAATTATGTGGCTATCATTATTTTCCCATTATTTTCATATTTGCTATGACCCTTGGCCGTCTTTTCTACGGTGGCGACATGGATACCGGATTCTGTCTTTATTATGTTCGGCAATTTACATTTTTGTGTCTCTCTCTCCTCCTTAAGTAATCGGTCTAGTACTATTGTCTCGGAGATTATTGTTATTTGATATTTAAATATATTTGTTAATTACTTTTGAGAATTTTATTGTAGAGAAATTTCTCTACTAGTTTTTATTAAACTGTCAAACACCAAGCGGTCACCGGTGACCGCAACCTATTGTTCTATAATTGTGTCTGCAAAACCGGTACTCGACGAGTTAATCGTCAATATTGTCGTTAACATCTAGAGCCTGTTGACTGTCGTAAAAACTGAAATGTTAAGTTACACCGACATCGAAAGCTAATTAATTAATTTTACTAATAGATACAGAAAGCACTAAAACATAAACAGCAATAAAACCGTCCCACCCGTTTGAAATTAATATTCCTGATTGAATCACTTGTATAAATCTCATAAGATCCTGTTTTCATAAATTGTGATTATGTGTACCTTGGATATCAATTATTATTTGCTAACGATGTTCAATTAATAACTTGCTTCCTTTACATTTCTCATCCTTACTGTTCATGTCTTCGACGATGCTATAATTTTCTCAATGAGGGATGGGTTCTAATATAATTTCTTCCATTGCTATAACTGTATTTGTTTTATGTGTTTCTGAACCCGTTTCTTCTTTTGCAGATGTGTCAGCCCCTTCATTGAATTGCCAAGGAGATTATAAGCGGTAAGTGTCTAAATACTATTAATTGTTCTTCATTTGATTTATTAGTGTTATGAACTATGATTAAAAGGGCAGAGTTTTGATATTGTTGTCATTGGATTTGGTAAAGTGTTTACTTAGCACTGACAATGCTTAGTAGGTATAAGGTTTTAATAGCATAGGTCACGTTTGTTATTTCATTGTCAATATGGTAATATCTGAAAGTGGTGTGAATGGAGATGAACCTTATCTTATCAATAAACATGTGATGAGGATAAAATAAAGTGGTAACAGACACTTAATTTTAAGTCGAGCCACGTGTGTTACCAATAACATCAATCCATTCGATGACGACTAGTCTACATCTACAACTACAATATGTTCAATTGTAAATCACGAGTAACAATATCTATTAGAAATTCAGCATCACAGATCATAGACTTGTCTATATTTATCGCACCGTCTCCAAGACTATACAACAAGGAAGAATCGTAAACAAAGCCATGACCTGGCGTAAATACAGTACCGTCCTTTGCCCCACCTAGCCAGTAACCAGGTCATTGGGTACCCCCCACCGTGTCTACCGCAATAAAAACTGCCATGTTTTAAATTACGCGTAATATTCAGTCATTACTTAATGAAGTGCGGTTTATATAACTGTGCGAGTACTTGAACGTCTGTTGACCGTGAATTTAGTAGTTAATGCGTCCTGTTAATTCTTGTGGCTAATGTAGCTGTGTTATAACGATGTAATATAGTAACACACTTAATTGTGTTTGTTACTGTAATATTTTTTTAAAAAAAATCTTGATCTGTGGTTGGTGGTTCTCACACTGTTTAAAACTCCGATCTGGAGTTTTATTCTTGGATCGACCGTTATGTTAGGTATATGTATTAGAAAATTTTGAATTACAGAATAGGCTTAGATTTTGTATGTCTTACACAGTAGGGGTTTCCCCAAATCGATAATTTGTCTTATGAATGTCTCGTCTTATGATATATGGTAAGTTTTTTCAAAAATAGTTAAGTTCATATGTATATGTATTTAAGAAAGACATCACATAGTTGTGAATTAAGGTTTTGTTCATATAATGGTTGTAGGTAGTATAAAGTACGATAGGGTTAGCGTATCCTCATGGATAAACACCCCGTATTAATTATAATGTAGAATAAAAAAAAATGTGAATGTGCCTTTTACGGGAAAATAACTCCTATTGGTTAGCGGTTTCGATGGAAATTTCGAGACAATTAGTAAATTGACTGGCTAGCCAGTCTAGTAACGTTTGGACACGTTATAAAATATGTGACATTCCGACACAAACGTCACATACGTTGACATGTCACGTACATAACACATAACATCCTAGATTACTGTTTTTGCGTGTGTGGCCCAATTTAGGAGATAAACGCGATTATGAATTTTCATAGTTAAATAAGTTAAAAAAAAGACTGCAACTTTACAATGATAGGTGATGGTAGCTTCTTCCATAATTTTCGCTCTTTTCTTAGTTTTTTTTATTCAGATATATATAAAAATCCTGAAGTTTCGTTAAATTATCTTTGTCAGTGTAAAATGTTTACCAATGCTAATAAATAAAGATGTTACTTACTTGACTGTAATCAACTAATTTAAATTTTATGCTTGAGTACTGTTATCAATTATAATTCGTGAAGCTAAATAAATTATTCCATTCAAGTATTCAACTAAAAGGAGGCGGTAATCTGAGAATTTATTGCTACCTGCGCATGAGTTGATAGAATATTTTTTGCCTATCATCTAGTCTGTCAACCTTGACTTCTAAGATATTATAACCCTGCTCCATTACATTAAGAAGACTAGTAAAACGTGGTATTATTAATTTCCTATAAATAATTTATTGCACGCCTTATTTTATTGATTAAGCTTGCAAATTATTACCTACTGAACTCACAATTTTATTTTAATTTAATTAATGACAAATTGCTACTGTTGTAAATCAGTAAGTGTATCAGAGTTGAAAATAACTTATTATAATGGATCATGAGATTTAAGATTAGTTCAATATTGTGTAAAGGCCAGACATATCAGTAACATAATTAATAATAAGGAATATGATTACATTAAAAATAACTATCGTGAGACATACTAAATTAAGTAAAAACGCGGGTTACTCACGTGAATATACTGAGAAAAGCTCTACTAGTTTCGAACGACAGAGGGGTTCTTCCTCATGAGCAGCGTGCGCGGTCGCGGCGACGTCGCGCAGCTCACTGGCCGCGACCGTCGTGAGTAACCCGCGTTTTTACTTAATTTACATTAAAAATGTTGTTATGACACATTTTTTCAAATACGTGCACAAAGACAGGCTTAAAACGAAGACAGTAATATCATATCATATCAATTATCATTTCCAGTCACATATAACAATTAAAATCGCCACCGCTTATCGCTCACAACCGCGGCCAGTGTGGCATACTGTAGCGGGCGCGTGCGCCGACCTAAATACCCGCCTCTAACGGTGCGTGCGGCCACTGCGCACCGACCTTTATAGTGCGGATCTACAGCCAGTCAGCCAGCGGACTGACATGCGAATATCTGACGTCCACGTCACGGGCACCTCGTCATCCAGAAGATACATGATGTAGCTGGTTCTCTAAACATAAGCGCAACAGATGTATAATCAACAAGACCTGGCCCCTTAGATAAGTGGTATTTAAACGAAAGTTGAGAAAAGTCAATGTTTGATATTGACACTGGAAATTCGACATCGGAAAGAGAGAAGGACTAGGATTTTAAGGATTAACCTATGCATTACTTACCCTAAACTTTAAGGTATATTTAGAAGTCCCCAATGAATTACACATATACAACAGGGCATAAAAAACATGTAGTATTTCCACTGTATATTTTTCAAATACCACTATTTAGAGTTTTCATGAATACAATATACTTTCCATCTGTTCTTGGGGAATATTGACAAAGTAAATTTCTCAAGCTACAATAGGGTTAATTAAAGTAAGCAACTGGATCGTCGAAACAGATAAACAATTAAATATTAACGAATGTTCAACACATAAAATAACATCACGCCTTTTAGCCCCGAAGGGGTAGGCAGAGGTGCACACAGAAGTAATACCCACTTTTCACTATTTACGTAATGAGTCCCATGTAATAGGGGGTGAGCCTATTATGGCAATATGCTTATACCGGGCACAATTTCAGACTCCATGCCACTACTGCGATTTTTTTAAAACCCAGTAATACTTTGCCCGACCCGGGAATCGAACCCGAGACCCTTTGCCCGGCAGTCGCACTTGCGACCACTCGGGTAACGAGGCAGTCAACAAACAATTGACTTTTGGACCAAAAGTAATTAAGACATCATCATAGAGAGAAGACTGCGAAAGACTTATACATCGGGGAAAGGGATATTCTGGAAGCCGTAAATATAGGATACGCTTGTACTAATACCAGCATTTCAATGTATACCATTGATTAATGTATTTTGCACTTTAACTCGACGTTATAAAGCTGGAAATTATATTTGATAGATTAGAATAGGTAGATTTACTAGCGTCTGAGATTATAGTACTATACAGTGACTAATGTCGTTACTATTTCTCTATTGTAGTGTAAACAATTTCGATAATTGTATGTAAATTTCTCCAAATCAATAGTCATGTTTTGAAATTCCACCAATTCTATTGAAGTACTCAGAATGCTTGTTTTGGTACACACTATTGTGGAGTTTGATTGTGAATTATTTATTTTGAGAATGATATTGTACCTTTGTCTATTTTTTTGTCTGTCATCAGATAACTTAGACCATAATGGTGCTTGCTCAATAAAACTAGTAAGTAACTGCAAGCTCCCTTGTGCGTACTGCTAAGGAGTGGAATTCTTTGCCAGAGTCTTTATTTCCTGAAGGGTATAACCTGGGTGTCTTCAAGGCCCGAGTGAAAAGGTTGCTTATGGGACGACGTGCTCCATCGTAGACCACATCATCGCTTACCACCAAGCGAGATAGAGGTCAAACGTCGGCCCATCAAATATAAAAAAAACTAAATCGAAACGTATTTTGAAAACGTTGCCCACCTTTATTTTATTATCAGCAACATGCATAGAATTTTCAAATGTTAAGTGTGGTTGACATAGTCTCATAATTACACACTATACATTTATACTGACCCACCTTTCAGTCACAATTATGCAATTAACAATTAATTACAAAAAACCAATAACAGAAGCGTCGAAGCATAACCAATTGCTCTAAACTGTGACAATGAACTCACCGACCACGGCTTCCATAACGGTAGGCTATAGTATAGTCAATATAGCCAAGAGTGAGTAATTAGAGAGGCTACTCGATAATTTTGTGGAATTAGCTCTATTCAGGTTGCCCATAGTGGCACAGTTGTGTCTAAAACCTGGGGAAATTAGCCTGCTTGTGCAGGCGGAAATAATGGCTGGTTTGATCTGATAACGCTAGGTGGCTAGTGTTTGTTAATGCCTTAAGTCTTAAAACTACCTAGATGCCTTGTTTGTAATGAGGATACTTTCATCTTTCATGCTTAGTGCCCTTTTTGGGTGTTCGGTTTTAGGTCCACTGTTGTTTCCCAGGTTAAAACCTAAATTAGGTGTATTGTCTTCGATTTGTAATTGTTGAATCTCTGTAGTAGCATGAACTCCTGTGATTCTCATAATGAGGTTCACTTTCCAACATCTAAATTAAATTACTTAGAAAACTGCTAAAGTGGACTATACTATTTTGCTTTATCAAAAGCCTTACTAAAGTCCGAGAAATTTTAACGTTTATGAATGAAATAACAACAATAAACTTCTGATGTAACTAAATACAATTAAATATTTAAAGCAAATTCATAGGTCCCATTGTTTACTGAAGACAAGATTGCACTAAGAGCCTTTAGAAAATTAATCAGTAGTACGTAATATCTTAGTCACGATGTATTTCTAAGGAGAAATATTGAAACTAAGACGTATTCTGTTTGTATATGATACAAACAATACTTATGACTTGTAGGTA